CCCACCCCCATCTCTCCCCCCCCCACCTGTTGGGGGGGGGGGATTTTTTGGGTTTTCACCCCACCCCTTTAAAAGGGGCCAATGTTGGGGCAACACTGCTCTAGTCCAACCCATTTTTTATCTGATTTTAGAAGCAATTCGCTTGACCTTGCATATGACATTTTAAGGAGAATTTGTGTATGTGTCAAATCATCTCTCTAACCTCCATATAAAGTCTTAGTTATCGTCTCTGAAGCATCAGAAAAACATCTTGACAAAATTCAAAGCACATTGCTTAAAAGTTTGCCTCCCATTTCTCTACTTTTTTGATTTTTGAACATCATGACAGTAAGGGGAAATTGAGGGGTTTTTAAAAAGTGTGGTCAAAAATAAGCATGTTCCCCAAACTCTCTCATATGTTATTGTTCGGGCTGCTAGTTTTTCTTCATGATCTCCGGCAAATCAGGGGGTATGTCTTCCCCCCGAAAGAAAGCATGAAGCACAGAAGGGGTGGGAAAATTTCTTCTTCTGTTAAAAATGTGGAAGGCTAACTGCTGGTATTTGATGCATCTGTCTCAGTGTGAATTCCCCAATAACAAATAACTGTTTAAAGAATTCAAACTTCTTACAGGAAATTAAGTGTTGCATTCCTTTTTTCTTTATCAACAGATGCCTCGCTGCACCAGACCCAAAGGCCCATCTCTTTCAGCCATTCCCACAGGGGCCTACCAAAAGCCTCAGGTGAACCCAAAAGTGGGAGAAGAGCCGCAGAGCCCCACACTGTTCCCTAGAGGCACGCTGTTAGGGTTTGAATACATATGTGCCTCTCAGGAACAGAATGGTGCTCTGCAGCTCTTCTGCTTCTGGGCTGGCCTGAGGCATTCAGAGAGGTGAACTTTATACGGACAGTTACCATTACGATGGTATTGTTTTATGCCAACGCAAGGATGCAAGGACCATGCTTTACTTCAGTGGTGGGAAAAATAAAGTTTATGTTCGTTTACGTTGAGAGAGCATGGAACCTGCGGGCTTCTGAGTGCTACATAACGACAACCCCCAGCATCTCTCACCACTAGCTATGCTAGCTGGATACACAACATCTGGAAGGCTGTACATTCCCACTTTTTATGTATATTCATTCATCTCCCAATAACACTTCCCAGATGGATAGATATGGTGCCTCAAAAGTGTTGCTGCAGTTTTAAGCTATTAAAGCTTAAAAATGCACTAAGACTTTTGGCACAACCTGCATGTGTGTGTATGTATGCGTGTGTGTAATCTATGCCTATATCTGTCTTTACATGTACTTTCTATGGTAGCGGCTGCTCTCCCCCAATCTATTCAGGCTTGTTTGTAAAAAGCCACTTTTGGCTTCTCTCTTGGGTCTCTCCATCAAACACATCTGTAATCAGACACATCTGGAGAGCACCAAATGGGAGAAATAGGGAGAAAAGAAACAGTAATTATGAAAACAATTGCAGAGATCTATAGTATCTCAAACAACAGCACGTAACGAGTTTAGTTTGTTCCTGCTAGGTCTGTGGGTACATCTAATTTGGGCAATCATTCTTCCCTTAAGGCTGCCATTTTTTAAATGATCCTGAAATTCAGCCTGGCGAAAAAAACAGAGCAGCTAAAACTTCTCCTAGCCTGGAGATAAAAACATGTCTATCTCCCTTGCAGCATTATAGGCTGTTATTTAAGACATACAAATAAGGCCATTAAGAGGAAAACATGATTAACCCTTTTCCCACCCTTTCTTTCATTTATTCCTGGCATCCTGTTTTAACAAGTCAGGGCTAGAATTTTAAAGGTTACATTAGCATTGGATGAACTTAGGATTTATTCAACAGATGATTATTTTTAACCCAATGGACACCCCACATATCAACCTCTGTATGTATGTCTGTTTATTAAATTTATATGGCCGCCATCTCACAAGAAGTGACTCTAGGCGCCATACAGCAGAAAATATAAAAACAACAAACATGTCGCAAGCAGTCAAATTAAAAAGTTTTTAAAAAGCATAAAACACACAAGAGATTAGATCAGCAAGGGAGACACTGCGAGATTTCACCGGTCCCCTGGGATCCCCAGGCCAGATGACATAGCCAGGTCTTGAGGGACTTCCGGAAAATAAGGAGGGATGAAAATGACCTCAATTTGGGGGGGGGGGGAGAAGGTTCCATAAAGCGGGCACCACAGCAGTGTTGGCAGCGTAATGCATTGGGAAGGACACTGACTCATATCTTTTGGGGTTTTTTTCTACATTGACACCACTGACATTTTCATAAGGTTGTAAAAAAGGTTTTGGAAAAAGTAATAAGGATAAAAAATATGAATGTGATGCTAAATTATATTTGGAACCTATCAAAGCATGAAGAATTTTGAATTTAGGCTGCATGGGCAGCAGCTAAGAAATTGTTTTATTCATATGGAAAGACTTGAATGAAAGATATACGTATATTTTCAATGCACAAACTGATCTTCGCTGAAGCTGTGGAAAGTCTAATCAACATGATTCCATGTGGTCAAGGTTAAATGTGTTGTTTAAAACTTGAGTTCTAACATATATTACTTTCCTTTTTTTCTTATTTATTTTGGGAGTGATATTGGTCATTTGGTTATCATTTTTCTTTTCCTTGTTATAGCAGTAAAAGCAATGCAAAATAAATATAAAGTCTGGCATGATCATACCATGACAAGACATAATTTTCTCCCTCGGCCCTGTAACATTGCCCTTATAGTATTTTGTCCTGAGCCCATAGTGAGACAACCTTAAGTCTTCCTTAGCGGTATAAAAATCACATTTTCCCCTTTATTCCAATGCTGTCCAATGACATACTTGTGGTGAGTAAAATCTGTAACTTTGGGGGCAAAGAACAGGTGTGTCTGGAGGTGCACCCATGCCCCCTTCTTCCTGTCGGTAGCCAGCTTCCAGATAGCCCCGTTCTCTCCCAGCCTTTGCTCTCTCCATTTGCACTTTGTTTCTGGAGTTTCTTTCAGACCCCCCCCCCCTCACAACACACACACATATACATACTCCTATCTCCAACACCAACTTCTCTCCAGGCTTCCAGCAAGGAGAAGAGAGCACAACAGAGCTCCACAATTTCATTTGGGGAAGAAGAGGGGGAATATTTGTGTTAATTTACTTTAATGGGCTTTTGAAATGCACACTTATGCAGCAGCCCTGCTTTTCCTGAGTGCTGTGTCCAGAAAATGAGGGATGTTGAACTGGACATTTGTTGTTTATTGGCCAGCTTTCCTGTACTGTCCTTCAGTCATTCTTCCTCCTTCTCCACTGCAAGAGTGAGAGTGATTGTCCATCAGCAAATTCAGTTCTCTGGCTCTGTAGGACCTAGCTAGAGGAATAACCCTGGAAAGATCTGTCTCCCTTCTCTATGGGGTTATAACTGCCCTCCCCAAATGTTTCACTGTTTCACAGTATCTTGAGAGATGCACAAATGGGATGTGGGAGAAGGGGCAGGCAAACCAGCCTAGAGGAGCCAGGCCAAGCCCTGAAGTCAAACCCTTTGCATTCTGGCTGCAGTGCCCTGATGGATGTTCTCCCAGATGGCTGGGGATCAGGAAAGCCACAGAAAAAACACACTCACCTTGCCCATAAAGAATGGCTTATTCACAAATCAGGGCAGTCTCATTAGTATGTGATTTAGACACAATAGCAGCAGGATATGGATTGGCAATGGGGACAGCAAACATTATGCTGGTATTGTTTCATGTCAACTCAAGGATGGGCGGACAGTTCTTTAACTGGCAAAAGGTCCTGAGGCAGCAGTTCCATAGTTCTGAAAGGAGATCTAGGGACCATAAGCCAGAGCTCAGACTTTACAGAAGCAAATCTGATGTCAATCTGCCTCCCACCTAACCCCTACCACTGACATCAGACTTTGGAAGGTGTTAAAATGAAGGGTACTGGGGGTAGGCTGGGTAGGAAGGCCTCCAAAGACAATGAAAGGATGATTTTTGCCATCATTTTACTTCTGCAAAATCAGCCAGATTATTTCCTGATATTCCTCACATACCTACAAAGAGCATGGAGTGTTTCTGTGCAAACAGCAATCCTTCTCTTTTTTCTACTTCACGATCAGTCTGTAGATATGGAGAGAAAACCATTAGGTACTAGATATGGGGAGGGAGGGAGGGAGGGGGGAGAGGGGAAGGAAGGAAGGAAGGAAGGAAGGAAGGAAGGAAGGAAGGAAGGAAGGAAGGGTCTCTCTTCTAAATTGGCAAAAAGGCCAGTTAGATTTTCTTTACAAAGATGCCATCTCCCCAGATCTGACAAGGCTTGATAAATTATAATTGCATAGGAATTCCAAGCTGTGCTGTGCTGTGCTGTGCTGTGCTGTGCTGTAAAAATAAAAAGCATCTCTCCATGAGGAGATGATGATGATATAAATCAAATATAGGATAATTAATGGATAAGATGTCTTAACTTAAAGGGCAAGCATAGAAAGACCCATAGGTCACATTGAGCCTATGGGCCAGCTACTTTTTGTTCTTTATCTTGGTAACTGATATTCTTGCATTTCCATCTTGACTTTTTTTTTTTTTACTAAAAGCTGGGAATCAACAGTGCCCTGCATAATCAAGGGTTCTTGATTTCCTCTCTTTTACTGTATCTCTCTCTCTCTCTCTCTCTCTCTGTGTGTGTGTGTGTAGTATATAGATTAGTTATACGTATATACTGTATATAAGTAACAGAACTGTTATCTCTGTAAAAACACAGTGACTGGTGAATGAGACAACAGATCTACAAATTCCTTGTTTTCAAACATAAAAACAAGACAAGTCTGAATCTTGTATTAAGGTTCCAAGAGCTCATAAAGGATGAATTTCCACCTCCAGTTTTACTTATTGTTCTTTTGAGCCTCTTTTGGGCTCTTTAGATTTTCTCCACTGAAAATCTCTGAAAAATGGTATATGTAAATGTTTGCCCGGCTAAGCTGGTTCTGACGTTCAGTTCAACATTAGTTCAACATTCAGTTCTAAGGGAGGCCTTGGCAATCCTCAATCTCTTTATCTCGGCCTCTCTGTACAAAACAGACAAGTGGCAAGATTTCCTGTCAGTCTGAGGGAGGAAACACACAAAAACTATAGTGCAACTGCTGTATTTTAAAAAAGATGTAAACTTTAGTGTAGTTAAAAACGGAAAAAAATCTGATTCCATTCATGTGTGCATAAGATGGCCTCTTCTATTCTTCATGTCCTGTTAAAAAACATTAAGTGCTGCCTCTGACCACCAAAATATTGCTTAGCCAACATCTAATACAATTACTGTGTATGGCCTTCAGAAATATTTTAACTAGATAATTAAAAACAAAATAGTTTTATTCATGGGAAGGTGAGATTAATAAAAGGGCAAGCCAGTCAGCACCACTCACAGCTATAGAAAGAAGATCCTAGGTTTCCTGATTCTTGGGTCAATCAATGCCATATGAACTTACTTTCTTTTTATAATGGGTAGAGCAGTTTTCCCTGAGCACAGTCCTGTTAAAAAAGGATGTATTCACTATGGCAAATGCACCTATATTGATAATCAAATGGGCAGTGAAAGAACCCCTGGGGATACTGGTTGTTTGTCCATTTTCCTTTGGTATTGCAACATATCTGAGGTTGACCTTGTGAGAGGAAAATTTTAGTAGCCTTCTATATGTTTTAATGTTAGTTTTGATTGCATTT